CGGAGGCGGAGGCGCTGCGAAGGGCGAAGGGCGGGGCCGGGCCTCAGGGGGCGGCATTTCCGCTCCCCGGTAGAGAGAGCTGCCTTTGCTTCCGAGGGACTGGAAATGTGGGAAGTTCAAAAATGTTTACTCTTGGGGACAGTTTTCGTCTCTAGATAAACCAGGAGCTTTAAACCAAGTGTACGCACAGTCATATTCTGCGGGTTGTACACGGACGTGAGTCTTGGTAAATAGATGGAGTTGATTCCGCCCCACCACAAGGTAGAACTCTGTGAACACTGCTGACCAACCACTAAGCCGCAAGTGCATTAAATATCATGAGTCGTTACTGGTAGTATAATAATTGTTATTCTCTCTATTTTAAGAGGCAGAGGAAGGAAATTTATATACAACTTTCATGAGTATAAATGTTGGAATAAAAATTTATAATTATATGTAAGTTATTTGTAACGTAATTCATATTTAATAATCACTATGCGTTACTGTAAGTTATTTACAACCATTTCTCTATTTTTAGAGGAAAAGGAGGACAACGCTAATAGGTTATTGGCTTTTTTCTGATCATAAAAGTAACATTATCTCATTTGAAAGTAATCAATATAAGAAAATAGAGGTCCATCTTAGTCCCAAAACCCGTTAAAATTTTTATGTCTATGCCCTTCCAGTGCATGTATTGCATATAAATAGGTAAATTTTATTTGACAAAAGTTGTACCATACTATATATAATCCTATTTTACAACTTGCATCTTTCACTTAATATAGTGGATGTTATTTCCAAAGATAAGTTTAAAATAATTTTGAACTTATAATGTTAGAGTATAAGACTGTATTACTTGTTTTAGCAAATTCCCTTATAATGAATAATTTTTTTAATATTAAAATAATACTATAAAAAACAATACTATAATGAGAATTTCTGTGTAAATGTTTTGACATGCTTATTCTGTTAATTCCTTGAAATAAATTGCCAGGAGTGGAATCACAGGGTATGTTTTGCCCATTTTATAACAATTTTAAGTTGCACATCTTTCCAAGTGACTCTTGATAAAATATGTACTAGTATATATTCCCATTGATGGTGCGTAGAGTGACCTATTCTCCATTTAAGTTGCCTATCTGGTAGCTGGAAAATACTTCACCATGTTGATGTGCTTGTTTATTATTAGTTAAATTGAAGTTTGTCATTAACTTTTAAAATATAAATTCTTAATTTACCTTTCTACTTGGATATTTTTCCTTATCTTAATGATCTATGAGAACTCTATATTAATATTAACCCTTTGTCATTATAGACTAGAAAAATTTAGTGGCCATAAGGAAAGTGCCCTTATTCCTAATTTCAAAGGAAATCAGTATATAATGTTTCACGTTAAGCCTGATGATGACTTATAATTAGATTGATAGCAAATAAGATTCTTCTGTTTCTATTGTACTTGGGTTTTTTAAAAATTTAAAAAGGAATGCTGTATTTTATCAAATATTTTTTCATTGGTGAATTGCAATAATAGCTTTCCTAAGAATGAACCATCCTTGCATTTCCAATATAAATTGTACTTAATTATATATTTTTATATATTGTTTGAATTTCACATCTTTGTTGGGGGCAGGAGTGGACCATTTTAATTAAGTTTTGTTATTGAGATGGTGGTAATTTTGTAAAATGAATTGAGAAGTACTCTTTTTTTTTCCTCCAAAAAGTTTTATTTTATGAAAACTGAATTTTCTTTCTCTTCTACTTCCTCTTTTATTTACCACTGTTTCTGTCTTGGTGCCCTTCCTATCCCCATCTATACACACAAATGATCTCTTTACATTTTGAAAAAACAAACTCCCAGTGAAACTAACCTAGGAATCATTTCTTAAGATTTTTTAAAAAATTTGTTTCTCTAGAAAGTTAGCCTTTTCATCAAGATTTCCAAATTTACTCCCATAGAGCATATAATAGCATTTTCTTGTAATCTGTGGTCATAGCCTCCTTTTTACAACTAATGTGTCTTTTTGCTTTCTTGTCCTTTTTCTTGCTTAGCTTTGTCAGGATTGTTTATTGTTTTGGATTTTTTCCCCCAATACTTTATTCTTTGACTTTTTTTTTAAAGGTTTTATTCTGATTGTCTATTTCCTTAGTTTTTGCTTTTCTCCTTTTTAGCTTCTTCTATGGATATAACTGATGCATACAAATTGTAGACTTTTTTTTGGGTCAGTGTATATAGAGCTTAGTTTGCCTGCATGTAGTAATTGAATGAAATAATATTGTTAAAGAGCTGACATCCCAGGAGTTTTATTACCAATGTTTATTTCAGCTTTTAGTTATCATTGTCATTTGGTTATCCAACTAACTATTACAGGAAATATATACTATAAATAGAAGTGATGAAAATTTTATATATGATGGCCAAGTTCAACCCTATTTAATATCTCAGCATTGTTCATTTCAGTAATTAAGAAAAATAATTACTTCTTACATATAATTTACATGTAATTTATTTTCTGCATACTATTGATGGTTAAGATTGATACTTTAGCACTAATCTTTTTGCTTTACTGTGGAGTATTTTTGGCAATAGTTTAAAAGTAACTAAAGGTTTCCTGTTGGTTATGGATATTGTATATATAAATTACAGTCTATATATATAAAAGGCTAATATGCTAAGTGTCAAAACATTCGAACATTCGACCAGTAGCTGTGACACTCACTGACCACCAGGGGGCAGACGCTCATCACACAGGCATGGAAACATGGAATGGACTGATAAATCTCAGAGGGAAGGGGAAGGCAGGAGGGCGGGAAGAGATTAACCAAAGATTTTATATGCATACTAGAGGCCCGGTTGCATGTTTGTGCACCGGTGGGGTCCCTCAGCCTGGCCTGTGCCCTCTCACAATCCGGGACCCCCTCAGAGGATGTCGGACTGCTGGTTTCGGCCCAATCCCCGCAGGCCAGCCCAAGGAACCCCACCGGAGCACGAATTCGTGCACTGGGCCTCTAGTTATATATAAATACACACAGTAGGAGTTTTAAAATCCTTGTTGTTCAGTCTTGTTAAAATGGAGTACTTTGCTTACTTTGTTAGCTTTGAGCGCCACCTGCTGGCTAAGGACTAGGACATGATGGTGCCTTAATTTAAGGCATTATGACAACTGGTAAAAATAATTTGATGAATTTTATATTTAATATCCCAATTAAGCAGGCAGCCAATCTGTACACCCAACTCCAAGCCAAACTTCCTATAATATCTAATGGGTTTTTTCTCTTTTTCCCAAATCACTGTTAGTTGTTTCAAATACCCATTTTACTTTTATAAATAGAATATGAGAATTAGAACTGTTTCTCTTCAGTTCTGGCAACACTATCATGGTGTTTCTCAAAAATGACCCTATTAAAATGTGGGGCTAGTTAATTCTTTGTTGTGGTGGGCAGCCTTTTGCATTATAAATGTTTATTGTGTCCCTGGCCTCAATCTAGCAGCACTCAGTTGTGGCAACCAAAAATGCCCCTATCCTGCAAAATCTCCCCTGGTAGAGAATCAATACATTAATATGACCCCTTATAATATGGCACAGTTTTATGGCCTGTTGTTATACCTGTGAATTAAAAAAGCATCCTTCTGCCATGCCGGCGCATGGCTCAGTAGTTGAGCATTGACCTATGAACCAGAAGGTCCAGTTCGATTCCCAGTTAGGGCACATGCCCAGATTGTGGGCTTGATCCTCAGTGTGGGGCATGCAGGAGGTGTATATAATTAAAAAAATATCCTTCTGTAAGATTGACAGACAAATAATATTGTAAATAGTTATTAAATTAAAGGGTATCCAAAGTTCATCCACAAATGAAGGGGAAATTGGGAAAGAGAAAAGAAAGTTGATAGGAATTACAGAACCACTGTATTATTTGTGTTTTGGAATTTTGAATTCTGATTGAAAGGGGTTGGTAAATTGTCTATCCAATAGTGAGAGAAATCTAGTCAGGTTCTCAACAATTCAATATATATGGCTTCTATAATAAAGTCCCATTTAGAAAAAAACTAAAATTATAAAAAAATTGCAATGTTTATGTTTTATAATGGGAAAAGTTTAGAAATAGATTACTCTCTCCACCTAATTGTCATGAAACGTCACCATATCATAGTTAAAAGAAAGAATTAAGTATTCAAATAGAAGCCCAAAATAACAATCATAAGCACTAATTAATACAGAAAAGCCAAAATACTCGAAATGTGTGATTTGACAATTTTTGTTTCATCTCTAATTAGTATAGCAGTTTGTAGAATCTTTTGTCCTTGTTTTCCTCCATAAACAGAAGTGTAATAGTTTTATCTCTCTTTTCCTGCCTTTTGTACTTAGCTCTTATAATCAATAAGCATTTTATAAAAGAATTTCAAATAGGCAGATGTACCATAAAACAATTTCTTGAAGTTCCGATTCAAATTAGTTGTTAATTAATACAGTATATACAAAATTAGTAAGTCAGTAGTAAAACCAGGAAGTAAACTTTTTTAACTATTGAAAATTCAGTAACTTATATTGGCATACTCTTTTCAAAATGAATTCACAGATGTTATTTCATCTCATTCTCCAAGTAATTTTCCCAGCAATAAACTGCTGCAAAGTAAGTGGCTTATAACCTACTAAGGGACATGAAACCTACATCTCCTGACTAAATCAATTTTTGTTTCATTATGCTATACTACCTTTCCAGAATATATTACCAATAAATTCTGCTTCAGAGAAATTTACATTAACCTTAGTGTGGGAAGACTAAAGACAGAGTTCTGACCAGAATCCAGGAAAACAATGAGTTTCATATGTGGGTCTCTTTTTCTGAAAATAAAGATGGTATATATCTAGCATCCCACTGTGAAAATTAAAATTATCAGTAAGACTGATAATGTTATTTCAAAAGATGCTTTGAACATCTTAGCATTAGGGATAAAGGATGATAAGCCCTTTTTTATTAGGAGCTATATGTGAGCACGTAATGTTTTTGTGGTCCTTTCCAAAGTAAGCAAGCATACTAACACAAGGAGTATCCTATATAATAAAAGGCTGATATGCAAATTGTCCCCGCGGGAGTTCGACCGACCAGGAGTTAGACTGCTCACTATGACAAGCACTGATCACCAGGGTGTGGTGTGGAATGAAGGAAGGCACTGGCCAGCAGCCAGCAGCTGGGGGAAGGAAGACTCCAATCAGCCCTGATCCCCGGCCAGGCCTTGGGACCCTATCCATGCACGAATTTCATGCACCAGGCCTCTAGATCTAATTATAAAATCCATGTTAATTTTGGTGAATAGAAAAATAAGACTAGAAATTATTTTAAATCTAAATTTTTGTTTTCTTTCTTATGCAGCTTTTAAAATTTTATCTTTTAAAAAATTTATCATACTTTTTAATAAGTTACTTATAAAATGAAAATTTGCTTATTGGCATAGAATAGGATAATTTTAATAAATTTATTTTTTACAAACCTGAATTTGCTAATTATTTTTTACCAGTTCACATAGTATTTTCACAAACTCAATATAAAATCAGTATTCTACCATAAGAAATGGCAATGAGCAACACTAAGGTTAAGTAAGTACTATATACCCTTTTGTTAATATTTCATGCTGATCGCTGTGATTACACCTGAGCCTGAACTAAGCTATATTGATAACTAATTTAAAATGAAAATAATTTATATGAAAATGTTTTATACTTTAAAAAATTATAGTTCACATTGTATGGTTGCCTGTATATCTACTGGTAATATCTCTATATCTGTTTACCAAATTACAGTCTGCTACAAATTCTGAGACTCCAAAGTCAGCCATCTCCAGAGAGGCCAGCACCCAGTCCTCATCATCTACGACCAGCCAAGGCTATGTTTTACCTGAAGGCAAAATCATGCCAAACACCGTTTTTGTTGGTGGAATTGATGTTAGGGTATTGTATTCATATTTAATTTATTTCAAAATATGTCTTAGGAATCATGGGATTTTTGTGCTTATTGCAAACATAAGGATTTTGTACTTCATGCAGTATTGGAACTAGTTTTGTGTTTAACCTATGGGGACTGAAAGTATCTTTGACAAAAAGCTACAGGTAGTTTGAGGATACTTGGGTGAAATAGTTCTTCCACATCATCAAATCTTCTTTTATAGTATAATTGAAATTTTCGAATGCTGAATATTTACTCTTAAAGTCAAATTCTTTTCTATAGATGGATGAAGCTGAAATTAGAAGTTTCTTTGCTAGATATGGTTCAGTAAAAGAAGTGAAGATAATCACGGATCGAACTGGTGTATCCAAAGGGTAAGTAAAACATATGCTGAGTATGAAATATAAAATACAACATATGAACTAGTTTGTAGATTACTAGAGGCAGAACTCAAAACTGGTATTTTATACGTACTTGTATAAATGAAGTTCGTTGCTTTGTTATTTTCTTTCATGGAGATAAAAGTTTGCTGCCAGCTCTTTCATTTAATCGTTTTCCTAGTATTTGCATTTAAATATTTCCCATCTTTATTTATTTAACTTAAGTGGATTAATTAATTTTATTGAAGAATTGTTTTCTTTGCACATTTCACCATATTTTAAATTTTAACCTTTTTGCCATAGACAGTAAATTATATTTAGGTTTCTAGATGGGAATTTCCTGTTAATGAATAAGGTTCTCACACTACTTTAATTGTAAGGAAAAAAAAGCAGTAATATTTATAGAATATCATGTACATCTTAAAAATATTTATCTGTGTATTCTTCATACTTTATTATTATCACTTTTGTTAATTATTTCATAGAATACTAGAAGTTTTAAAACATTCAGTTATGGTGATGATTTTATACTTCATTTATCTGCCTTTCTAGCTATGGATTTGTTTCATTTTATAATGATGTGGATGTGCAGAAGATAGTAGAAGTAAGTAGTCTTATGGGAAAATCTTTTAATTAGATTTTGGATGCAATGTTTAATATTACTTGAGTCCCAGATACATATTCAGTCATATAAAATATAGAGATAGAGCCCAGCCAGCATGGCTCAGTGGTTGAGCACTGACCTATGAACCAAAAGGTCACAGTGATTCCCTGTCAGGGCATATGCCTAGATTGTGGGCTCAATCCTCAGTGTGGGGTGGGCAGGAGGCAGCTGATCAATGATTGTCATCATTGATGTTTCTATCTTTCTCTCCCTCCACCTTACTCTCTGAAATTAATAAAAATATAAAATACAGAGATAGATATACTTCTTTTTTGAAATCCGAACTTGAGTAATCTTACATAACTTGTGAGAACCTATTTGTTTTTGATTGGGCATCTAGCTTCATGAACTAGAGACAGAATGTAAAGGTTTTGATCAAATTCCATGACACCTCTTGACACTGAGTAGTGATGGTAAGGTTCGGATAAATTTTTTTTATTTACTATGTTCTTACCACTGATCTTCTCTGATAGAAGACATTTTTAGAACATTTAGGATGTTTATGAAAGTCTTGGAAGTAAAGACTTCAAAATTGATTCTACTTTTGTTACTATTTTCAGTCACAGATAAATTTCCATGGTAAAAAGCTGAAACTGGGCCCTGCAATCAGGAAGCAAAATTTATGTGAGTAAAGAAAGGAATTTTTCTTGTTGACACGTGTAGCTTTTCAGAGAACTAAAAATAGGCTTTGTTTTCTTTTTATTCTTTACAAAGGTGCTTATCATGTGCAGCCACGTCCTTTGGTTTTTAATCCTCCTCCTCCACCACAGTTTCAGAGTGTCTGGAGTAATCCAAATGCTGAAACTTACATGCAGCCTTCAACCATGATGAATCCTATAACTCAGTATGTTCAGGTAAGAAATACCTACGTTCCTGTGATTTTTTTTGTTTTGTTTTTTCATTTTATTCGTATTGGAAATCTTATGGATGGGAGTACCTTACAAGTAAGCTAGTCTCACTTCTTATCCCCTGTGGAATTACATACGCAATTTCCATAATAAGTGATAACAGTGTTTCTGTTTGAATATTTAAGGCTACAGGAAATCTATTTTTGTAAGTCTGTCATTCTTAGTTATTCCTTATTCTAAGCTAAAATCTGCTTCTATATAGTTTGTAAACCTTTATCTTGAAACTGACCTCTGTAGCCACAAAGAACATGTCTTTTCCTTTTTTTTGCCTTATATAATAACTCATAAAATATATGAAGGCAGATTTTCTCATGAGTCTGCCTTGTTTATTCCTCTCTAAGGTTAGCCATTTGTCTAGTTATTCCTTATTTGCAATGTCTAGATGCCTCCCCATAAAGATTGCTGACTTCTGGATATATTCTGGTTCTAGAATGGATAGGTTTCTGATGACTTAACTGTACTTGTAAACTATAAATCTGGCATACAATTTGGTCCTGGTTGGTTACTTCAATATTTGAAGTGGTATGTGGAATATTTACTATCTCCTATTGATGATAGTGTTTATTTTCTTCATTTTCTTTTTTTCAGTTTAAAAGACATTTTATTTGCATAAAAGAAACAGAATAATAAATAGTACTGCAGTGTCTCTCCTTTGTTTACATTTTCTATCTACCTGAAGTGTAGTGTATATTTTTTATTTTTCTTGTCCTAAACATGGCTAGAAGAAAAAAACCACTTGTTCCTAACATTTATTGTGTTATTACTTATTCTGGCTATATTCATATATACTACTACCTAGAAGTTTTTAATCAGTAATATTTATTGAAAGATGTAGTATATTTTACTGCCTCTTTCCCATTTTGGGTTGTATATTGCCCTTAAATTTTAGAAGTAAAATACAAAAAGAGCTATAAGTTTGTAGAAAGACTATACATTGACTACACATTACCCCCATGATATTGTCAAAGAAATACAAAACTACCTAAAAGTATTTTTACAGAGAAATAGATGTATTAATATAACTTTAACACAGAAATCTATCCTAATAAAGTCTTGTCACCAGTGTAAGAAAGAACTTCTGAGTGGTGATAAATATACAAATGATATAAACATAAGCTGGCAAAATCAGTCACTTCCCTTATTTACCCTTTCCTCCTAGAGAATATTTTTTTCTTTATGAAGCCAGTCCTCAAATAGGGTCCTGCACTGCATATAGAAAAATAATTAAGATTTCTTCATTTTCATATATTTGTTCTTTGGGGAAAATATTCCTTCTTTACATTCTTTCTGAAACTTTTATTTTCAGGCATATCCTCCTTATCCAACTTCACCAGTTCAGGTCATCACCGGATATCAGCTGCCTGTTTATAATTATCAGGTAATTTAAGAGGGAACAAATGATTTACTTTGGAATATTATTGAGGCCTTTATTTATATAAATAGTTTTTTCATTTAAATTAGTTGAGTATGCCTAAAATTTAAGAAAAACTTTGAATTAAATCTCCTGTATTATTAGGAATAAGGGAATGATATTTTGACAGGAATCTACTTAGCAGTAATTTTTTTCTTGTATTGTCTTGCAAAATTTGGTGTCCCCTTTATGTATTCCTCATCTTTACTATCAAATAGCTGAAACACCCAGGCTGACTTAAAACTTTTACCAGGGAAGAGATTGAAATAAAATTATTACTCAATTCTTAGAACATTGACTTCCAGTTATATTTGGTAGTGTTTATTTTAGCTAGCTACTACAAGATAGTAGTAGTTCTCTGAATTTCTCTGTTCCTAGATATGACTATATCTATGATCCATGGTCATATATCTATGGTAATAAATTCAAAGAATACTATCTTTGAGTTTTCCTGAATGCCAATCTCAAAAAATTGAGGAAAAGGTAGAGTTTATATATGAAAGTAATAATAAAATCCTCAGGTATTAGAAACATAAAGTACTACTTTCTTTCATTCTGTTTCTTTTATTATACAAAGTTCAAGAAGCCAGCATGACAAATACCCCAACATTGTCTATCTGATACTTTTGTGAAAAGTGTATGAATATTTAAATATTTCCTTTTTTTTTTTTAAGATGCCACCACAATGGTCTACTGGGGAACAAAGGAGTTATGTTATACCTCCGGTAAGGTGAATTAGCCAAATATATACTTCCTGTTCTTAAGTATTTTTTTGTTTAACTATTAATATATTTTTTGAGCTTTTGCCATATCATGTATGCCTTGAAACATGTTTAATTGCCCTTTTACATTATGTGTTATGGTTTATTAATTTCTTGTCAACTCAAATGTATACTCCCTGGGAGAAACTGCTTTTTGTTTCTCAGCTTGTTTTTGCTTAAACAATGGCCACATGCATACAACAGTTGTTTAATTCGTTACTGATAGAATATACAACCCAAGAAACGTAGTATTAATACCTATGATAATGCTAATTCTATGGATTTAGAATTAGTATTGAATCTGCTTCTAGTTTCCTACCTATAAAAATGTCTGTTGAAGAGAAACAAAGTAATATTTTTTTTCTGTAATATGCTGTATGTTATATAAGAAAGGGAATTTAAAAAGTGCTACCTCTAAAATACCTAAATCTTTATTACCTTCTGTCTTTCATCAGGACTGGATATTTGAAGGATATAATATGAGTTAAAATTCTCAGATGCTGGGAAATGTCCATTCCCTATAATTTGAAGTTTCTTTTTTTTTTAGAGCACTTCCAATTCTGATTGTGTTGAGGCTTAAAAGACATTTCAAAATAAAAGATTGCCTTATTATTGCATTTCAGCTTCAGTTTAAAATAAAGTTTCTGTGGTAATGTAATTGAACTTCAGCATGACGCACATTTAAACTTTCAATATCATCTCACCATTTTGAAGAATAGGTTGTTCAGAAATGTGTCTAATGTACATCCCTTTAATTATACTTTTATCATTTTAAATGCAGGTTTATGCAGCTGTTAACTACCACTGTAATGAAGTTGATTCAGGAGCTGAAATTTTGACAAGCGAATGCTCGGTTCATGAAGCTACTCTTCCATCCTCTGGAAATGGCCCACAAAAGGCAAACATACAATTTTATTAATATTTTTATATTTATTTTTTCAAGTTTTAATAATGGCCCTTTGAGAAGTGAGCATCTTTTCCCAAATTTAAATATGGGAGTCATAAATTAAAAAGCTTGAGTAATTGATAATATGTCAGTTTATGTTAAAGTTGATGAAATTCCAGGCACACCAAAACTTTTAGTATATAAATATAATTTCTAATTTAGTAGTTCTTTTCCTCAGTTCCAATTTCATTTTTATTCTTTTTTAAAACCATACTTTAATAAGTATTGTATTAACATGACTTAACAGAATGCAATGGCAAGTTTCCTCAAGCCTCCTATTCTGCAAAAGAGGAATTAGTACGAATTATACCTACATGTTTGTTCTTTGTTGTGTTTTTGTGTGTGTGTGTGTGTGTGTGTGTGGTTTTTTTGGTTTTTTTTTTTTTACCAATTTAAACATTTACTTAGCTAAATAGTAACATGCAGTTATTTATGGTATTCTTTCTATAGCATTATACATGGTAGTTTTCAGGAGTGGTGGAGTCACTAATAATAATTAAAATATTGAAGTAGACAGTTTTTTTTTAATCATTACAGCAGATTCCTATAGTAACAGTGTTCTCACTTTTGAATTATCTTATGTTTAATTGAATGGGTGGGAATATGGTAACAGTGGAGAATTTTCATTGTAGTATGTGAACTTTGTCCAAGTGTTTTTCAGTGGAAAAAAAAGGTCAAGAACTACTGAACTATATAGTGCGAAGAAATTCCCTGATTTGATATATGATTTGAAATTTGGAAACAGTATTAAAATAGCTCAAAGTATAATTATAATATCAGGTTTTTATCCTGGGTATTTTTTTCTAGAAATGTTGGAGTTCACTATTTCTTATCTAATAGGAAAAATTAAAGAGCCTTAAGCTAATATCTTAGGGTTTTACTAAATTGAGCCTTTAAAATCAGTACTCTATCACTAAGGTTCTAAATATTTCTTGAATTCGGTAGGAAAGTTACATTCTAAGTGACATTCTATGTGGTTAAGAATTACGAATTCCCTAAGAATTCTTTAGAAATAAGTGTATTTATTCATTAAACTTTATATAAAAAGGGCTTGTTAACAGTAAGTAAAAGGAATAGTCTTTAGATTACAGAAAACGTCTGTGTTTCAGAAATCTGTGGATCGAAGCATACAGACGGTGGTATCTTGTCTGTTTAATCCAGAGAACAGACTGAGAAACTCTGTTGTTACTCAAGATGACTACTTCAAGGTATGAAAGGAATAGCACACAGGATAAAAAAGCACATTTGTCAACCACAAAGCATCTTTTTTTCCTGTGGTATATACATTTTGAGATTATATAGAACATTTAATTGAACTCTTGCATTTGATTGTAACCCAGTAAACCACTGTGAGTGAGTTTTACCAGGTAATGCATTTTATGTTGCTCAAACCTTGATGTAGTATAGTTTGTTCTTAGGGGACAAACCTTTAGCAGAAGCTTACAATTAAAAGAGTTTGTGAAAAAAGAGAGTTGAAAGGGAATATTAACTTGATGAAATAGAAACGTTTTTAGATACAGAAAACAGAACTTAAGAGTACATGCATATTGGACTAAAGAGAGCAAAGAAATTGATCACTCAGATGACATACTTGAACTCCGTAGGGGACAAAGAGGTAAAGTGAAGCAATAAAAAGCTGAGTAGAAAGAAATGGAAGTTGATTGAGAGTTGGTGGAGTGGAAGAGAACATGGGTGTTTGAATTTAAAGAAGTCTGGTTTCTGATTCTGGTTCTATTTATCACCTTGGACAAGTCATATAAATTTTGTTAAGGCTCCAGTTTTTATAAGTCTAAAATGAGAAGACACAAGACTAAAGGTCTCTAAAATCTCTTTAGTTCTGAGTCTGTGAATATGGAAAGGAACTAACTGTTCACTCCAGTGAGGGAATAATATTGTATGTGCTTAGTAAAGGGGCGTTTTTGTTGTTTTTTTTTAATAACATGTTTATTGAATATAATACAATTCACTCCTTTAAAGTGTATAGTTCAGTACTTTTTAGTATATTTGCAAGCCATGACCATAATCACTTTTAGAATATTTTAGTTACACCAAAAATAAACCCCCTACCTATTAGCAGTCACTCTCCATTTACCCTCAACTCTTCTAGTCTTAGCAACCACTAACCTACTTTTATTAAGGATTTGCCTATTCTAGACATTTCATATATGTGTGTGTATACTTGGCCAGTTGACCTAACAACTGGTCAATATGACGCACACTGACCACCAGAGGGCAGACACTCAACGCAGGAGCTCCTACAGCCAACCTCCCATTGGTCCCTCCTCCCGGAGGGCCAGACCCAATTGGCCTCGATCACTGGCCAGGCCGAGAGACCCCACCTGTGCACAAATTCGTGCACCAGGCCTCTAGTATAGAATAATACATTTGGCTTTTTGCCACTGGCTTCTTTTACTTAGTATAATGTTTTAAAGGTTCATCAGTGTTACAGCATGGATCGGAATTTTATTTCTTTTTATTTATGGATATATCATTTTACCCATTCATTACTCAATAGACTTGCATTGTTTCCACTTTTTGGCAGTAATGCTCTCAGCATTTATGTACAAATTATTGTGTGGACATATGCTTTTATTTCTCTTGGGTATATACCTAGGAATGCAATTGCTGAGTCAAATGGTAATATGTTTAACCTTTCAAGGGACTTCCAGAATATTATAAAAATGACTACACCATTTTACATTCAAAAGGAAGTTCTTAACCATTGCTTTGTGTTTTAAAACAGGGAAAGAGAATAGTTTTTTCCATCTATGAAATGACATAGAATGAAGCTTAAAGCCTTTTTTTGAAGGGTATACTAAGGACAGAAGAATAGAGCCATAGCAGGATTAAGTTCTTACCATCTTCTCCACAGGGAGTAAATATTCATTTAAAGTTGACATTTGTTCTTTTGTTGTTTCATTCTACATAGTATAACTTAAAGGGAAAGAACTGGTATTGTATCACAGCTTTCCTTTCCCAAAGTTCTGAAGGTTGAATAAGTAGTACTTAAACGATTTTTTTGCAAAGCAGAACATGGTCTTTAAACTTGAGTTTTCAGCTGGTATTAGACAAAAGCTTCCAGAGTTTTTGAACCTTCCAGAGTTTTTTGCTCCTCTGGGCTAGAAACACTAAGCAGAAATCAGAAGTTGATAGCCTACAGTTATCTGGCCTTTAGACCTATTTTGATTGGCTAAATGTTATTGTATGTTGAATTTAAATGCATTGAGGCAGGTTATATACTATTTCCATGGTAAATTCCAATCTTTCGTCTAAATTTCAGCTTCTCCATAATTTTTCTTATTCTACCTGATCTTTGAAGAGACTTCCGTTTGTAACCACTTTTCTGGGCTTTAACCTAAATAAGATTTTACCCTGTTAACAATTAAATAATTTCCAGTTACCCTTCTTTATATGACAACTGAATTTATCCCTAGGAAAAGGGCAGGGTTTAAAAAAAAAACACCCTAATATGTGTTATTGTGTTATTGTGTTATTGCTGATTTATTCATATTCCTTCTATCTGCACAACATAAAATGAAAGGAAAAAGTTGCATATATTTTTAATTTTTTACTTCATTTCCCAAAGAGTGATGTATCTTCATCACAGGTGAAAGATATGCTTTTAAATATGTCAAAACTTTTACTTTTAATCTAAAAGCATGGAATTTCAGATTGAAGTGCAGTGCTGTTCTCAAGCTATAATTTGTACCAAATGCACTTTTGTTAGTAAAACCAGTGTTTTTTGAAATTGCATATATTTTCACCAATTACCTTTGGGTCATCACTGCCAAATCATTAATTAAGAATCTGCATAAAATGGTAGTGATTCTAAGTTCTCTGTTTCTGAGTTTACCAAGTTTTATTTTTTAATTAAATTGTTGAATAAAACTAGTTCATTGATACATTTGTCATCAGAATTCAGGAATACTTTCCAAAAAGGATCACTTTTCTCTCATTTATAGTTTTTAAACCCAAAATTTTTACAACTCTCTTAGTTCATAGTGCTAATAGGATATTTTCAATGAAATAAAAAGGACTGTTTCTGTCTTTTCTAGGATAAAAGAGTGCATCATTTTAGAAGAAGTCGGGCAGTGCTTAAATCTGTTTGATCCTCTCTTCTAACTTTCTAGTCTCGTGGGAAGTTGCTGGTTTTGAATACTAAGAAGAGACTGAAAGTTTTTCACTATTATAGAAATTTAATTCTGAGTATTGATAAATCACATTAAGACTATACAAGCTGTATTAGATTGCCTAGTTTTATTTTACATTGAAACTGTTTTTCATTAGATGTTTAGAAATTTGGTTCTGTGTTAAATACATAGTTGAAAGTAAAAAATAATTGAGACTGAAAGGAACAACTTTTAAGATTTATCTGTAAGGGTGTTTTTTTTAAAGAATTGAAATTGACATTTTAACAGTTTAAAAGTAAATGCTGATTTTCAAAAAATTGTCTTAGCCAACCTACTATTTTGAAAGGTCAGAATTTTGATAGTTTGAATACAAGTGTTTCACTTCTCTAGCAAGTACCTGTGAGTAGTACAGTATTTACAATTTTGTGCTTTACATTTATGATTTGTCTAGAAATTAACTGCAAAAGCATAGTTTTTAAAACTGCATTTTTAATCAGTGGAACTCATTATATAGTTAGCTTTATTGAAGTCTTCCTTATCTAAACCCAGTAAAACCAATTCTAAACAAACAGTCCAGTGCTCGCTTCGGCAGCACATATACTAAAATTGGAACAAACAGTCCAATCAGTGGGTCTTATTAGTTGGAAATATTTTATCTTTTATCTAGAATCCACACAGATACCATATTTGATTGGGATGATAATTAGATAACTAAAATTCTGGACCTATTTTTTTAAATAATCCAAGACAAACTAAACTTTACTAGGTACATAGGTTCTTGGTGAGTTACCATTCTCCTTTTTTTCTTTAATTTTTTTTTTCCCCTTGAAATGCTAAACGTATCTTAAATTGTGCAAAATATTGGTAATAAAGAATGCTGAAGCTTTTTTATGTCACTTAAAGGTTAATCAGAGTATCTGAAAGGAATTGTTTTTATAAAAACATTAAAAGATTAGTTATTTGTTAAAAAGCAAACAGATTTTTATTTTTGTTTGTGAGCCTATTATATTACCTTTTTTAAAGTAAAACATGTCCAAGAGAGTCAAAGTAGTCTTGGTGTTTCTGAATCACAAAAGTTGTTTAGTAAGCATATCCCAAGAATATACTCAGTGAAGAATCCATTTCTAGATTTACTAGTCTCCTCATTAGACATTATATATTGTGACAAACAACTAGAGCACCAAAGCCCTATTGCTGTACCCACAGTCTTGCTTTTCCAGTTTGTAACATCATTTTTCCAGAAGGTTTGCTCCTAGAACAGGTAATGTAAAGATGAGAAGTAGAAGTATGAGCAGTTTGAAGGCTAAGCCTTGGAAATGTAGCAATGTGGTAATACCTTTTTAAGGGAAACACTTGTCTCAGCATCATCTGATCTGCCATGAACATGAGTTTAAAATGGCTCCCTGGCCTTTCTTTCATTGGCCCCTTCACTAAAACATGAAGACTCCTTTTATCACTAATCTAATACAACAACCATGGGCCATATCATCAGTGCCCATTGCTATCTTACAATACCTAGTAATTTTTATTCTGAATCTGAAGGGGAAGAGTCTTTTAACTTACGTATCCCACAAAAGGGCTTTCTACTCCTTATAATTTGAAAGTACCCTGAAATTTGTCCTTTTTAAAATTCTCTGTACTATCTTTTGTGTATGCTATGACATTCTTACATGTATAATTCTGTGATTAAATCTCCAGGTTACTGTAAATGATACCTAAATTCTAAAGAGCCACGTACATGATTTGAAGTAAGGAAATAAACTTTTCATTTGTGTGCTGTTTTATTGGACTGAAGTACTTATTTTAAAAATGGTAAGGTAGAAAGAAGAGACAAAGTCCTGAACCTTTCAAAATGAAAAATTAATTTTAAACTTAAAAGTATGTTCCTGTTACATATTGCTAATACTGTTTTTGCATAAATGAATAAATAGAAATAAAGAAACTTTTTTTCCAGAAACATTCTGACTTCTTTATTCATGTGACATTATTTCAGTAAGTGGTGGGGAGTTGGGTGGGTAGTATGTGACAAGGTTTAGATTCTTGAAATTATATATTGTTCAATTTGTTAATCTGGCAGAATTAGTTTATAAAAGCAAATTTTTCTACATTGTATTTTATTGCTTTCTGTTATGAATTTAAGAGATAGGTATTCATGAGAAAATAATCCCTCCTAATGCTGAATTGGAAATGGTTAACAGAGTTTCAACACAGTACATCAATAGTGCAGTACCAGTAGGAATGCTGAAGTGTCAATTATGACTCTGCAGTCTCATGGCCAGAGTCCCTCATTTTGGACTATGATCATTCATTCTGTCTACTGCACACTTTGGGCCTAATCTCTGTGGACCCTTTAATTTTGGAGTATTAATAGTTACCAAAAGTAGAGCTTAGATTTTTCATATTGCATTTACTTCAGATGAGAATGCACCCAAAAGATCATTATTTACCACCTCTTCTAGTTCTAGCTCCAGTACTCCCCGTTCTATAAGTTGAGGCCATAGGAGAGGAAATTTCCCCCATTGGGTACTCGTATGCTATATTTTATAACTGACTCATTACCAGAAAACTGATTTTGATAATAAGGTTCTACAAGATAAAAAAAAAAAGAGTGACTTCTGAATCACTCTGAAGATAAACTAGAATAGTTGGCAGATTATAATCCTTAAATGTGCATGTATACACAGATGCATACATACTAACCATTATCCAAAACATTTGATTAGCTCTGACCTAGCTAAATAACACTTTATTAAAACATTTTAAGGCTCTAAAACTACATATATCTTAAAAAGTTTGTTTAAACCTACTTGATATTTTAAACATATTTGCAGTTAAGGTTTAGCACAAAATTCTCAACAGAAAGCCAAGTCTTTGGGATTAAAAAATAAATTTCATACAGCACTTTGTTGTTTTTTGAAAACGTTGCAAGTTATGGCAAAATCAAGTGACTCCAAAAAGGTTGGTCACCCTTGTAAGAAGAGTATTCTGCATAATTTTTTCCTTGCCTAAGAACATGTTATCTTTGTAATTGTTCAAAATAATTCAATATTGATTAGCATCCTTAAATTGCAAGGAACTCACTGACTTTAAAAAATAAATACTCCAAAGCATTGTAAAGCCCTCTACCCACGTCTCTAAAATTCTCTTGGTTGTCTTTAAAGGTAAACTCATGAAAATGGGCTGCCACATTGCTTAATTGCTTTGCCAGCTTTCATTGCCATCATTTGAGGATAATAAGGATCAGTAGCAATAAAACAGCCTGCTACTCTGCTTTTGCAAATATGGCAATAGCGAGGGTGGGAAACCATAAGGGGGAGAAAAGCGACAGTGTTTTCCATTGACCAAGTCTTACAAATAGGCCCAGCTGCTGAGTATGATCATTTGGAATTCCTGAAACACATCTCCTAAATGAGGATTGCTCCTGTACATGTTTTGATAATTGTGTAATGTGGCCCTTCTCAACATTATGTGTAATATGTCTGTGTGTAACTGAATCTTTTTGAGTAATTCCTTACCACCCATCATCAAAGACTCTGAATTTTCCATCTGTAGACATACTTTTGGTACTAGAAAACAATAAACATAAGAAGTTCAAACTATAAACGTGCGTTTTTGAATGCTCATGCAAAATATTCAATCTGCATAGCAAAGAAATGATAGGTAATTCTGCATTGCATTTAGAGTTAAAAACATCTGTCCAATATGTCTGTAGCTGTGGGCCAATCCCAAGCAAATGCAAAAAAATTATCTCTTGATACAGAAGTTGAAACTACCACTGTACAGTTAAGCTCTATGTTAGCTATATTTTATGGTTTTAACTGGTCTGAAAGTTTTCCACTTGAGTCTCTATTTTCCCAAGGCACATGGAGGTTTTGTATCTTATGTGCACCTCCATTAAGTCTGTGAGCCAGGAATCTGCTTTTTCCCACGTATAACTCCCAGATACCAGTTGCACTAAGTCTTCCACAATAGAACAAATGCTTGCATGACTGGGATATTGGGATTATAAATTTGCAACAAAGGCACCATTTCATGCAGTTCAGAAAGTTGGAGATCTTATAATCCTTAAACAGTTCTTTTTTTACAGAAAATAAATCTAGCAAAAATACATTAAGACTATAATCACATCTATTGTGGTTCCCTAAAATAAAATGGATAGAGACATTATTCTGGCTCCATGGTCGGCAAACTGCGGCTCGCAAGCCACATGTGGCTTTTTGGCCCCTTGAGTGTGGCTCTTCCTAAGCCTTAGGAGTACCCTAATTAATAACAATGTACCTACCTATATAGTTTAAGATTAAAAAATTGGGCTCTCAAAAGAAATTTCAATCGTTGTACTGTTGATATTTGGCTCTGTTGACTAATGAGTTTGCTGAACACTGTTCTGGCTCAATCTTGGGTGAAACTATTTACTATAGAAGAAAGGTGGGGTTGACATTCAACTGATCTGTACAGACAAATCAGCGATTTATAGTGGGCTGGTCCTCTCTGCCCTTGAACACTATAAAATTTTTAATATTTTCAGTCCCTATCCCCACCCCACAGAATAAATCTGACTGGCTTAGTGAGAATAGAGAGGGGTAACTAAAAATAGAGCATTTTCTCTTTGCTTTAACTTAAGCTGATCCCCTACTTAGTGTTTGAGCTGCTTCATTCATAGTGTGAACAGTATTTAAACAATATACTTGCTAATGAGAAAAGTTTAATTCTGCACTTTTTTTTTCTAAACATGGCTTGACTGCTGCTTATCCTTCTTGTTGGTTGTACCTGCCTTTGACAAAACAGAATCTCACTCACCACCCAAGGTTATATCCATGAGCAGATCAGCCCTGTATCTTTTGGGGGCAAGTTTCCTCAATCATAACCAATCTCAAAGGGAAGTCAAAAAATATGAGAACCATCATGCTTTTCAGAGATTCAGAATTATGGGCTCCATTCTCAGATGCTCTTATTCTGTAGGCCTAGGTTTAGTAATCTGCATTTTTACTAAGTCCTGCAGGGGATTCTGATCCCTGCAACACTCACTCAGAGGAATACTACCCCAGATGGCCATCTCTTAGTATTCATCTCCGGCTACCCTTAGTTTTGGGATAGCTGGATTTGGAGAATAACCGTTAGGTCCATTTTCATTCCTTCATAAGAGATTGTGTTGGCTTAATTCATCCTTCCCTGCCAAGCTTGTGCTTAGGGGTGCCAGTTGTCCCCAGGCAAGGTGACTCACGAACAAGTTTGAAAAGTGAATCCAATGAAGTCTGAAAGCCAAGACTTGTAGCCAACAACAAATGGTAAGAGAGAGTGACTGCAAGGGAAAAAAGCTGGATTCCAGGGCCAATTGCAGGAAAATTGAGCATGAGGCACTAGGCTCAGCTGGGAGGAGGCAGAATGCACATTGTGGAGGCAGAGATACTGTTAGTTGCCTGCTGGAGGGAAGAACTATGTCTTTGGCCCACTTGAAAGTTTTTACATGGCCTGTCATTGCTCCTTTTCCTGCCTTGGAATTAACTAATATGTCTTGTTCTTAACAAGAATATTGATAACAAATCAATATTGGAAATATGTTAAAT